CCTGGGGTAGACCAGCGAGGCTTGGCACAGCCTGGGGTAGATCAGAGAGGTTTGGAGCAGCCTGGGGTAGACCAGAGAGGCTTGGTGCAGCCTGGGGTAGACCAGAGAGGTTTGGTGCAGCCTGGGGTAGACCAGAGAGGTTTGGTGCAGCCTGGGGTAGTCCAGGGTGGCTTGGTGCAGCCTGGGGTAGACCAGGGTGGCTTGGTGCAGCCTGGGGTAGACCAACGTGGCGTGGTACAGCCTGGGTTAGACCAGCAAGGCTTCGTGCAGCCTGGGGTAGACCAGAGAGGCTTTGTGCAGCCTGGGGTAGACCCACGTGGCTTGGTGCAGCCTGGGGTTGACCAGCGTGGCTTGGTGCAGCCTGGGGTAGACCCACGTGGCTTGGTGCAGCCTGGGGTAGACCCACGTGGCTTGGTGCAGCCTGGGGTTGACCAGCATGGCTTGGTGCAGCCTGGGGTAGACCAGCATGGCTTGGTGCAGCCTGGGGTTGACCAGAGAGGCTTGGTGCCTGGGGTAGACCAGAGAGGCCTGGTCCAACCAGGCACAGTCCAAGGGCGTGTCATGATACAGCCTGGCACAGTCCAGAGTGCCATGGTGCAGCCTGATGCAGACCAACAGGGCTTGGTCCCACCAGACACAGACCAACGCGCCATGGTGCAGCCTGGTGCAACCCAGCCTGGCATGGTTCAACCTGGCATAGTCCAGCAAGCCATGGTGGAGCCTGGTATAGATCAACGTGCCATGGCGCAGTCTGGTGTAGATCAACGTACCATGGTCCTACCTGGTGCAGCCCAGGGTGCCATGGTGCAGCCTGGCATATATCAACATCCCATGGCGCAGCCTGGCATAGATGAGGCTGCTTTGGTCCAACCTGGTTTGGTCCAGCCTGGTGCCTATCCTAGTTTTGTACAAACTGGTACGTACCCACCTACTTTAATACCTGGTGCAGATCAGCGTGGCTTAGCACCACTTGGGGTAGATCAATATGGTTTGGTCCAGCCTAGTGCATATCCTAGTTTGGTACAAACTGGTACATACCCACCTACTTTAATACCTGGGGCAGATCAGCGTGGCTTAGCACCACCCGGGGTAGGTCAATATGGTTTGGTCCAGCCTGGAGCAGACCAGCGTGGCTGGGCCCAGCCCTGGGTAGACCAGCGTGGCCTGGTGCAACCCGGGGTAGACCAGCGTGGCCTGGTGCAGCCCGGGGTAGACCAGCGTGGCCTGGTGCAGCCCGGGGTAGACCAGCGTGGCCTGGTGCAGCCCGGCGTAGACCAGCGTGGCCTGGTGCAGCCCGGCCGCAGCCCGGGGTGGACCAGCGTGGCCTGGCGCAGCCCGGGGTGGACCAGCGTGGCCTGGCGCAGCCCGGCGTGGACCAGCGTGGCCTGGCCCAGCCCTGGGTGGACCAGCGTGGCGTGGCGCAGCCCGGGGTAGATCAGCGTGGTCTGGCGCAGCCCGGGGTAGACCAGCGTGGCTTGGTGCAGCCTGGGGCAGACCAGCGTGGCTTGGTCCAGCCTGGGGTAGACCAGCGTGGCTTGGTCCAGCTTGGGGTAGACCAGCGTGGTTTGGCGCAGCCCGGGGTAGACCAGCGTAGTTTGGCGCAGCCCGGGGTAGACCAGCGTGGCCTGGCCCAGCCCGGGGTAGACCA